AATTTTAATAAATTCTAAAATATCACAAAATTTACGTGATAAACCCGAATTATTAAAACCGGTTCCAATCTCTAATTACAAAAGCATACACGGTGAACCTACGGTTCTGGAGGAAAAATTTGTTATATAAGATTATTGTTTCTTAAGAACATACTACATTTTCTATACCGAATATAACGAACTAGCATAAAGTTTAAAATTTTACAGATCGTGATTATTAGGATGACTGATTATACAGTTATAGGGGAAGTTGGTCTCAGACGTAGCCGGTCTCATTTTGGGCATTTATCTTTTAATAGTATAAATTTCTTGAGGTATGCACATTCTTACCATACTAATAATTAGAAAACTTTATGATTTGTGTCGAGTAAATCCGACTATTTGTGTCCGGACGAACCTGACGATTTATATCAGAGTAAATCTGAGGATTTGTATCAGAGCAAGCCTGATTATTTGTATCTATAAGTGGGTTAGACATTTTTGATCCGTGTCTTCTTCGATATAATATAAAACCAGCCGCCACTAATGCGCTAACAAAAATAAAGGAGCATATTACACCACCCACTATTACACCTACATTGGACGGAGATGACTGAGATATAGATGATGTGGGTGTGGATGTAGACTGAGTTGTTTTCGGAGATGTGTTAGTTGGATTAGTACCACCTATTATGAAGTTCATCAATGTTCCATCGCCTATATCTTTATTTATATCGAAAATTGCAATTCCTAGTGCATTATCCTGCACGTAATCAAGTTTGGATTTTAGTGATTGAAGATTGTCATAAGAAACATAATAGTATCGTGTAGGAGTGTTCTGTTGTTGTTGGTAAAGATATGGCTGTTGAGATTTATTATCAAAGCCATAATTCCATTTTGAATCTTTATTGGTACTTGTATCACAAAGTAATAATAAGTTAGAAAAATTTTTCCACGACAAAGTCGCATATACTGAACGTCCGCATAGATCTTGAATCCTCTCATCATAAGATGGGAGTTGAACATTTGGGTCACTTACAACCGCAAGGTTTTGATTAATGGTATCCTCTGTAATATTGTTAGAAGTAACGACTTCAACAATACCACCAAAATCGATTCCCAAAACGAGTTTTGATTTATTGACATAACTTTTCCAAGCATCAAAAATTTTCTGAATATTGTCTATTCCTGCACCCGCAGATCTGTTACCTATATTAAGATAAAATGCCTGAAGTTTTATAAGAAAATTAAACTTAGATTAATGCACAATATTATGTATCTGGAGCTAACAAGCTATTATATATGAGTGAACGGAATTGCACAATCTGGGGATTCTCTGCTATACTTAGAATAATAAGAGTTTATAACATCGTTTGTTAAAAAATAAAGTCTTACCTGAATATTCACAAACTTAATAATATCAGAATTGCTGGAGTTAAGACCAGATATAGGATACTGGCCTGCTGTGACCGTTAAAATCTTACTGCTATTAGATTTCTTTAATTGGCTTGATAAATCATTTAGGAACGGTATGAAAACAGAATTTAGCTCATCAGTAGTGAACGGTATTTCTGGCGGTGGATAGCATGGAAGCTTATTAGGATAATCAATATCAATCTATAATTAAAAAATAATTAACGTAACCATCATTAAATTATGTAAAAGAAATTTTGAACTTACACCATCGAACGAATACTCGGCGACAATGTTAATTAAATCACTAACAAAAGTATTATTTTGATTATATTGCCCAGTAATTACAATATTAGAAAACGGGGAGATTGTTACTAAGTCTTGAGTAGTAGGCAACAAGACTGAAAGGATAAACTATAAATATCAAATTAATCATTATAATAAATACTTTAACATATATTCAACATTTATCTGGAATTTCCGGTTAGGATTTCCAACAAGATAGTCTCTAAATTGATTAAATTTATCGAAATGTTGTGGATCAGTAAACACTGTATATGGTCCGGTGCCACTAATAAGATCGGGCCAAATGCTATAGTAATTTAAACCCAATAGTACTTGTTAAATTTAATCCATTATAATGATTGAAAGTTTTTAAATTCCGCATACCAATATAGTTTAAATGAGTAATTGACGAACTTATAAGTTTATTTAAGTCATCTGCTTTCAAATTATATTTATAAGCCGGATAATATCCAACAATCGTATTTGGTCGTGATGATGGATTCACCTCACAATTCTGGTTATAAACCCCAATATTCACAACTAATATGAAAAAGGCATATAAAAAAAGTATTATGAACTTATAGGGCGTGAATGAACGAATTTTCATATTTATCATTAAAACATAAAGTATCCTGAGAATAGAAAAAGAATCACCCTCAAAGAAATCTTAATATTGAGAATGAGTTTATATAATAAGTTATTTTTTAAAGGAAAATCTCATGTAGGTTTAAAAAAGGTTACAAATTATCATAAGATTGTGCTATATAAATATTTAATTCTTACTTTTCGGTGGTTTCGAACGAAATCTCCGTTATGTGCAATACCAGCAAGAATGAGAATAGAAATTTATACCTATATCTTGAAATTAGTGTTACTATACTAGCTCTCAGACCCGGGCGTTGCTCCGGGGGCTCGGTTTTAATTTTTTTAGTTTTAAGTATTTATTAATTTTGCTTATTTAATTTATTAGTATTTAAATTAACTAATTAAATTATATAAGTTTTTAAAAATAATATTTAGTTATTAAGTTTATTAAATATTAGTTTTTTATTTTTCTAGTTTTCAGACCCGAGCATTGCTTTGAGAACTCAGTTTTAATTTTTTTTAATTTTTTTTAATTTTTAAATATTTGTTAACTTTGGTTGTTTATTTAAATTAAATAATTAGATTATATAAGTTTCTAAAAATAAAATTTAGTCATTAAGTTTATTAAATACAGTCGATTTCTCTATAGTTATTTTCTTTATAGTTACATTTGCTTATAATCACATAAAATTTTAAAACTAACATATATAGCACTTATAAAATTTAACCTCTATATAAGTACAAACTCTCTATAAGCACCAAATTCTTAAAACCAAGGGCATAATTATAGAGAGGTTTGACTGTATTAGTTTTTTATTTTTTTAGTTCTTAAACCTAAGTATTGCTCTGGAGGCTCAGTTTTAATTTTTTTAGTTTTAAATATTTGTAATTTATTAGTATTTAAATTAATTAAATTAAATTATATAATTTTTTAAAAATAAAATTTAGTTTTTATATTTTTAAATATTAATTTTTAGTTTCTAGCTCTCAGATCTAGGCATTGTTCTAAAGGCTTGGTTTTAATTTTTTTAATTTTTAAGTATTTGTTAATTTTAGTCATTTATTTATTAGTATTTAAATTAAATAAAATTTATAATTTTTAGAAGGGTTTTATAATTTAGCATACTTGCATTGTAATATACCCACCTGATCGACCAATCAGGTCATAAAATCAGATATAATGTGAAATCAAAAAAAATAGTGATATTTTGAAAAAATCGCTTGTAACTTATAATTTTGCTTATAAAACCACCTTTTGTGTTCTAACAAAAAAAATTTCTTGCAAAATTTTGGGTATAATTAACATTCACCTACAATCTAATCTAACCCTACATTAGTACTAACTCTTACCCTAAATTAATGCGTTGTTAGTTTGTTTTGATTTCATATTACACCAGATCTTATGGGGTGCATTACAACGCACATGCGCTAAATAATAAAATTCTTTTTAGAAATATATTTAATCTTTAAATTTTTTAATATTGGTTTTTTAGTTTCTAGTTCTTAGATTCAGATATTGCTCTAAGGTTCGATTTTAATTTTTTAAATTTTGAAATTTTTAAAAATTTTTTAGTTTTTAAATTTAAATAATATTTTAGTAGAATAGTTTAATTTTTGATTTTTTTCAGCATGTTAAATAAGTAATTTTTTTTTGACTGCCTTATTTTTTTATATTTCAAATAACTATTTTTTTTTTTGTATGTCAAATGACTAACTCATTTTTTTATATGTCAAACGAGTAACTTATTTTTTATATATTAAAAGATTATCTCATTTTTCTGTATGTCAAATAACTGATTTATTTTTCTGTATATTAAATGACTAACTCTTTTTTTGATACATTAAATAACTGATTTATTTTAAATAATTAACTTTTTTGTATATTAAATAATTGATTCTTTTTTTTTATATTAAATGATTAATTCTTTTTTTTGTGTATCAAATAACTAATTCTTTTTTTTGTATATTAAATAACTAATACTTCAAATGACTAACTTTTTTTTTCATGTATTAAATAATCGACTCTTTTTTTTATATATTAAATGATTAATTCTTTTTTTTTATATGTCAAATAACTGATTTTTTCTTATATGTCAATGTTTAATTTTTTTTCATATATCAAATAACTGATTTTTTTTTTGTATGTTAAATAATTAACTTTTTTTTTACACATCAAATGATTGACTTTTTTTTTGTATGTCAAATAATTGACTCTTCTTTTTGCATGTTAAATAACTAACTCTTCTTTTCACATATTAAAAGAGTGACTCTTATTTCACATAACAAATAACTGACTTTTTTTTGCATATCAAATAACTAATTCTTCTTTTTGCATATTAAATGACTGTCTTTTTTTTTTGTATGTCAAATAACTATCTCTTTTTTTGTATGTCAAATAACTGTCTCTTCTTTCACATATCAAATGACTGTCTCTTTTTTCGCACGTCAAATGACTGTCTCTTTTTTCATATATCAAATAACTGTTTCTTCTTTTCGTACGTCAAATGACTGTCTCTTCTTTTATACATCAAATGACTATCTCTTCTTTTTCATATGTCAAATAACTGTCTCTTTTTTTCATACGTCAAATTACTGTCTCTTCTTTTTACACATCAAATGACTGTCTCTTATTTTTGTACGTCAAATGACTGTCTCTTCTTTTTGCATGTCAAATAGCTATCTTTTCTTTTCACATATTAAATGACTGTCTCTTTTTTGGATGAACTATAGAATAGCGTATACTAATACACTCGATAATCACATTGTGATATCTGGTTCAAAATATGCTGTTGTACGTAACGCATCAATGAATGCAT